CGATAATAGGCAGGCAGGTTAGCAATATACCGCCTATCCCGGCCGGAGGTGCTATCGTGCCTCGCCCTTAGCCTGCTAGACCGCCGATTCTAGGTACGACGCCTAAGCCTGCTTAGGTAATAGGATAGTAGTAGTCTCCGGGCACTATCGACCGTAAGTTATATTAATTAAGTAAGCGATAGAACTAAGTATTAACATATTTGTAGCCGCCTACGCTAATCGCTTGCCGTAGCTGCACTACGTTGTCCGTATTATAGAGACGACGTTAGGCCGTCGCTTTGCTCGCCCGTACGATACCTACCGTCGCGATAGCTTCGAATACTAGGGTTATTTATCGGGCATTAAGGCCTATATTAAGAAGCCTAGCCGTAGTTGTGCTCGCTATCGTCTCCGCAAGGTATAGCATTTGTCTTCTTATACTAATATTAAGACTTAAAGCTAACATTGTTTTAGATCTCTTACTCTTACCGCGACGAGGAGCCTAGGCTCGAGCTTAAGAGCCTAGCTCTAAAGCTAGATAGTTTCGGTAGTAGCTTCGGTAGTAGCTATAGTAGTAGCAAGGATAGTAGGATAGGTAGTAGTGCTTGCGGTAGCCTCGCCGCCTACTAATTCTTTTCCTTGTTCGCGTAGTAAGACCTAAAATATAGTAGTAAGTCGTACGATGCTTACTAAAGGTATTCGGTGTTTAGCGTTTAGGCACGGCAGCTAGTCTGCTTCTTTGTTTATTTCTTTGCTTTACTATTATTGTTTGCTAGCCTTCGGGCATAATAGGCTATATTCTTTGCTTTGTTTTTATACTCTTAGCAGGTCTTCTATTTAGCGTTTAGGCATAGCAGTTCTGCTGCTATAAATAAACTCTCTTCTCGCTCTACTAATCCTGCTACTATATTAATCTTCTAACGCCCTTATTCCTTAACTTGCTAGCGTACTAATAAGCACTTTACAGGTGTAAAGTAGAAGTCCTTCTCGGATTGCTATAGATACCGGTAGCGTTACTTATAGATTAATAGAGGGAAACGAATAATAGAGGCACTATTAAATTAAGTCGTTTAAGCTACTTTCTGCTAATACAAGCTAGCAAAGGTGCTTAATACGATAGCGACGGCTCCTAGTAATAGTAGAGGACCTTAACGGCTTCGTTGTAACTAGTCTTAAGAGTTAGTACTAATAATACGGCCTAGCTAGGCGTTATTGTTAACGTTTAACTTAGCGACCTCTGTTATATTTAAGAATGCGCGGGGTGAGTATAGCTCTTCCTATCGCCGTTAATGCCGCTATAGGATAGACTATCTTGTTAATAGGCGACGCTAGACGGTTAGTGCGTCGGTTAATTTGCTAAAGCCTTAACGAGCTAGGGAGGAAGAGCTATAGTACTGCTTAGAAGAATTAGAGCTTCCGATATCCTCGTCGATCCGGTATTAGCACTAACGATGCCGCTATCGGCGGAGCGTACGAAGCTAGTCTGTCCGCTCTATATATTAGGGTATAGCGTAGGGCTAGGTCTACGCTTAGTAGAAGTCGCTAGCTCGCTTACGGTACCTGCTTAGCTTCGGTGGAATTCTAGCGCTATCTACTAAGAAATTGAGGTTAAGAGGGTTTAGATTAGCGACTAGATAATAGAGCTATAGAGCGGGGGGATAGAGCAATGCGAGGGATAAAGTACGAGTCTACGAACATATATATGTTTCCCTCGTATATATTAGTATAAGGGGAGAATGTGTTCGTAGTAGTATCTTGTTTATACGATCCTAGTACGACCGTTGAATAAGACATTGATCTCCTCTTTTATAGTCGCTATATCGTCGCTATAGCTTAGCAAAGAGACTGCCGAAATATAGCAGTTGCTTGCTACTAGCACTTCTAAAACCTAGCTCTTCTTACGCTTAGCAAGCCTTCGATGCTAATCTTAAGGATAGGTTGCTGTCTAGCCTAGGTTTAAGCTTAGCGATAGTCTGTTCCGGTCGTCGATTTCGGATATATAAAGAGTAGTTTTATTTATTCGAGGCCTTCTACTATACGCTCGAAGAGTTAGCTTCGTGCCTTAATATTATAGCATATAGTGCGGCAATACTGCTTTCAATTCTTCCGCTTCTTTATATACTTAGCAGCCTTGCCGTTTGTTTTAGGATTAGGCTTATATCGATCCTCGAATTTCATTAGGTCGTCGTTCTAATCGTCTAGCATTCGAAGACTGCTTAAGGACCGCCTATTAAGCAGTTACACTGCCTCTAGTTATATAAACTGCTAATAGGCGCGAGAGCGTTTACAATCTATATACTTGCGTAATACTCGATCGAGAATGTCTCTTTTATACTAGAGTAACCCGAGTTCGAATCTCGGAGGGGCTATATTCTTTTGCTAACGTGTTGTTCTTTTATAAAGGTCTTATTCTTTATCTATCTTAGTCTTTTTGGATTTTTATATAATTCTTCGCAAGTATTATATATTATCTTTAAAGACTGCTATCCTATCAAATTATACCGCGCCTATCTCTATATCTTTTTAGCCGGATAGTATAGTAGTTATGTATACCGACTAAAGACTACCGTAGTAGATGCTAGGAAAAACTTCCGGTATCTACCTAGTAGATATCGTAATCTTCTTCTTAGTATTTCCTCGTTAGTCTTCGGGAAGTGTACGTAGGTTCGAGTCCTACTCTAGCTATCTTCTTTTGCTAAGGTCTTGTTATTGTGCTAAAGTCTTATCCTTATGCCTATTGTCTATTTTTTAGCTATTTAAATATATAAAGTAATATCCGCGCTCCTTAATTAGGCTAGATTCCAGGTTCTAGTGCTACTATTGTCGCGGCGATATTAGTATAATGTGTGTGCTTCTCGTTTACTAGACTAGCTCTATTACTCTATATCGTTAGCGATAATCTATCCTATTTAGCGGATAAAGTCGTCGAATTAAGCTGCGGCATATTAATAGCCTTAGAGTGTTCGGATATCTTTATTGCTTCTCGCGGACAGCTTATAACTAGCGGTAGATGCACTCGATAGTAGACCTTGCGGCTAAAAGGTTAGCGGTTCGAGTATGCTTTTGCTATCGGTGCTAGAGATTGAACGCTTATAAGATCCGCAGACATCTCGAGCTATATACTGCCCTTACAGTAGATAATATAAGGGCCGAATGTATTATAAGATTATAAATACCGAAAGTTAATAAGAACTCCTAGATAGGGGCTTCTTAATGCACAATACCTACTATCGCCGGTTATTAAAACTTAGATAAGTTTGCTAAAAGTTAATAAAACTTCGGATTAGGGCTCCTTAACGTACAAGATTAATAGTTGCTAGGTCTTGCTAAAAGTTGATAAAAGTTCGAATATAGGGTTTGTAAGGTACAAGATCTACTATCGCTAGGCTTACTAAATGTCGATAAAAGTTAGGCAGGATCTACGGTTGCTAGATCTTGCTAGAGGTTAATAAAAGTTGATAAAGATTGTACGATATCTACCGTTACTATCTCTTACTAGAGGTTAATAAAAGTTGATAAAAGTTGTACAATATCTACCGTTGCTATATCTTACTAAATGTCGATAAAAGTTAATAAAAGTTGTACAATATCTACCGTCGCTATATCTTACTAAAGATTAATAAAAGTTCGAATATCTAAGGTGCAAGATCTCCTATCGCTAGGTCTTACTAAAAGTTGCTAATAGTTGCTAGAAGATCGGCTTCGTATAGTAGATCTCCTATTACTAGGTCCTACTAAAAGTTACTAAAGGTTGCTAAAAGATCGGATAGTAGCTTCGTATAGTAGATCTCCTATTACTAGGTCTTAAAAGTTGCTAAAAGTTGCTAAAAGATCGGATAGTAGCTTCGTATAGTAGATCTCCTATCGACAGGTCTTACTAAAAATTGCTAAAGGATCGGATAGTAGCTTCGTATAGTAGATCTCCTATCGATAGGTCTTGCTAAAAGTCGATAAAAGTTAATAATAGTTAGTATAGCAGGAGCCGACCTTGTCGCTATCTTAAAGCTAAAGTAATAGTTCTCCTTTGCCTCCCCGATAGGTAGGCTATAGACTATAAGTAGATGCCGTAATTCTCGGCGAAGAAGTCGTAGAGGGATATAGTCGTCTTAGTATCGTATAGACCCGTACAACCTTATACTACTTAAGATATAAGTAGCTAAAGCGCTCGATCTGAAAGGCGCCTTAGTGCTGCTAGCTATATTAACTAGCTATATATAGATATTTCTAGACATCTTAAGACCGCGCTTACTCTTCTCGCCGACGCGCTAAAAGCCTTCGACAATCGACAAATAGACTAGTTTTAGATTGCGAGTCGGCGAAGCTAGCGCTCCTACTATAGAGAGTATATTGCGGAACCCTTCTTATATTTAGACATAGCTCTTCTTATATTTCGACATTCTTCTTATATTTCGATATAGCTTAGTCCGGATATTCGTCGTCGATAGCGTCTCGTCGGTTAAGCTATACGGCGGGTCGCGGCGATAATATACTCTCGGCGGGACATAGTTATTATACCTAAGACTCGGCTCGCTAGTATAAATTCTTTAGTATATACTGTCTACCTACGTAGGAATATAGTAGAAGGTTTAGATCCGGGTCGGCTAAGTAATAGGGATATCCGCTAGGCTAACACATGCGCCTCTTATACAAATTACTACGAGGGGCGTATTTGTTAGAACGTAAACAAACGCTTAAGCAATAGGATACGCTCTAGGTATCCGATAATGCTACTACCTTTCTTAACTTTTAGCAACTTTTAGGGCATCCTAGTTCGAAAGTGTAGTATCGGGTAAGTTCTATGCCCGTAATTGGCTGAAAGTTGCTAAAAGATAACGAACATTACTAGCGCTCAATAAAAATTGATTAACACGCTAGGGATTCAATTTCCGGAGCTTTGCCACTCTGGAGCTCCGTCGCGCGTACGCCCGCCGCCCACGCGTGAGAAATGAACGCCATATCAAGTACCTTCTATCGCGACGTGGTATTCCTTCCAAGGCCGGACGTGGCCGCTGAGGATGAAGCGGTTCGTCGTGGTGTACCATAAAAAAGTGCTATATGAACGGGTGCCTCGCCTCGCCTCGCCTCGCGTACCGAGACGTGCAATCAGCGCTACAGGCCTTGTGCAGCTGTTCAAGGATATTCTACAAAGTGCGTTGTCTCTGTGGCAAAATTCCATTTCAGTGGCAAGGACGTACACGACGGACACGGGACACCAGGCTGCGCAGGGAAGTCATCTCTCACGCCCCGGTTAGCTGCGACATCCCCATCGAAACCTCGCCTTTCAATAGTTCTGAGCTCGACTGAGTCGGCAGACACTGAGCTCTACATCGCTGCCCGCCTTGACCCGCCATTCTCCCAGCACCTCCTCGACCTCGAGCGTTGTTGCCAATTTCCCGCCACTGTCGTAGAGATGGAAGCTGCTGTCCTGCTTCGGCTCGTACAGCCTGACCTCATGCTGAGAAGGATCGATCCAGTCGTACACCGTCCTCGTCTCGCCGCACCTGCCCAATACCAAGATACTTCCTTCCCGAACGTAGAGTGGAAGGGTGGTGAAGTCGTGCTGCTCGGCGACCCATTGAGGCCCTTGGATGACTTTTTGGTGGTCCCAGAAGCTAGTCCATCGTCCTGCCGGCAGGTAGAACTCCACGACGCCGCTGTCGTCAAAGACGGGGGCTACAAGAAGACTGCTGCCGAGCATGAACTGTTGATCGCATGACCAGGCTGTTTTGTCGCGGGGGAATTCCAGAGCCATGGCCCTCACACTGACTGGCCATCCATGTCCAATGGCTTCCATCGACTGACTGTACAGATAAGGCATCAATCTGCACTTGAGCTGCGTAAACCGACGCAATACAGCCGAGCAGCCTTGTTCGCCCTTTTCGTCGTCATCGATGAGCCACGGCACTCGATACGAGTTGGAGCCGTGCAGCCTGGAGTGCGAGCACAAGAGACCAAATGGGACCCATCGCTTGTAGATGATAGGGTCCGGCGAGCCCTCGAAGCCACCAATGTCGACAGACCAGAAGGAGAAGCCGCAGAGGCCGAGCGATAGGCCACCGCGCAGAGACTCGGCCATGGCTTCAAAGCTACTTTCACAGTCGCCTCCCCACTGCAGCGGAAATCGCTGAGTGCCAGCACACGCCGAACGAGCAAAGAGGACAGCTTCATCCTTGCCGTAGCGTTCCTGGAGTGCTTCGAAGACAAGCTTGTTGTACAGAAATGGGTAGTAGTTGTGCATCTTCGCGGGATCCATATTTGCATCATACCACTGCACGTCCTTGGTCGGGATACGCTCGCCAAAGTCGGTTTTGATGGCATCCACACCAGTGTCAAACAGCTTCTTCAAGCAGCTGACAAACCATTGGCACGCCTCCGGGTTCGTGAAGTCAACGATCCCCATTCCGGCTTGCCAAAGATCCCACTGAAAGACATCACCATTCTTGCGTTTGAGCAGGAAGCCCTTTTCGGCTGCCTCTTTGAACACTGGAGACGTTTGACCCAGGTACGGATTGATCCACACACAGACCTTGCTCACCAGACCAGATTCCTTCATGCGCGCAATTTGTCCCTTTGGGTCCGGGAAACGCTCAGCCGAGAACTCGAAATCGCACTGCAGAACGCAAAGTGGATGGGTCAGTAATTTTACCCGAACACAACATATGCTTCAAGTGCCGACCAGACTTACCCAATGGAAGCTTCGTAACCAGAAGCAATCAAAATGAAACACCTGCAGCGGTATATCGCGATCCCGCATCCCTTGAAGAAACGAACTGACAGTCTTCTCATCATACTCAGTCGTGAAAGACGTACTCAGCCACAAGCCAAAACTCCAAGCGGGCAACTTATTTGGCCGTCCAGTAAGCTCGGTATACCTGCGAAGGACCTCTTTCGGCGTAGGTCCATAAATAATATACCACTTCAACCTTTGTCCCTCCACACTCGTCTGCACTCTACAACACCTCTCACTCCCAACTTCCAACTCCACACGTTCGGGATGATCGATAAAAACCCCATACCCTCTATTCGAAATCCAAACCGAAAGATTCTTATAAGCCTGATCACTCGAAGTCCCACCATCGGCATTCCACAATTCAATGCTTTGCCCAACTTTATTAAAAGCCCCAAACCTTTCCCCAAGACCATACACCCCCTCGCCGACTCCGAGCGTGGTTTGCGTCAAGATATAGTGCTTGAAGTCTCGCATATCTGCCGTTTGCATCACACTTCCCGGGCCGGGGGAATATGCCAAAGCGACACTTCGGTCGAGGAGAGATGTTAATTTATGCTTTCCATCCGAGCTGTGGAAGCGAATGTCGAAAGTATGTGGACGAGAGGTGACCGTCGCAGCGATACTTCCAGACCTCAAAGTCGTGCCGGCCTCCGACTTCTCGATCGATGCATTGACGAGAGGCGGTTTTCCATGCGGGAAGAGGTCAAAGTGCGGGCCTTTGGGGAGAGTACCGTGCCAATGGGTGACTTCGACAGACAGAATGCCATCACTGACGGCTTCCAGATCAACAGTCAAGGTCGTTCTGTTCAGGGTATCTCCTCTGGAATGAACCTGTGCGGTTGGGCATAGCAGGCTTAATTTCTTGCCATCGTTCGCTTCTGTGATTGAGTAGATCTCCTCTGCGTACTCCACTCGTTTGTCTTCTGCGACCAACCACATTCCATCGCGGAACTTCATGATGGGAAGATTTTTCGGTGTGATAAGAATGAGAAATTATAGCTGGACTCGAGTCTCGAGAGAAGATGGATGAACGAACAGGAGCTCTTGTTGACACTAATATTACTTTTTTGCTTTCACAGACCGCTCTCGCGAGGGGTAGACGGAGGCACCAGCTCCGCTTGCTGCTGCTGCGTGTTCCTGGTTCGGGCATGTCGAGCTTCAAAGTTTCTGCGTGTCGGTGATAGATGTGCATATATCTCACGACATAGTTGTGGCTGCGAAATTATGTGCTAATAAGCGAGCATCGTGAGCTGCAGCAGTAGATGTCACATGAATTTCATTGTTTGTGGCTGCGGGTGAACTCCACCCGAGGGCCATATACGTCATCAAAGGAACGTCCAGAGAACTCATGTTCACGACTTGAGCTTTCACCTTTTGTATCAACTCTCTGAATGTAGAGCTAAAAAGTCATGTCGACAGAACCGGTGAACCGAGAGCCACCTCTCAAAGAACTGATCGAAAACTTCATCACTCCCGTCACCGAAGGATACGATCGAAACCATTCCGGATATCCTCAAATCGATGGCGAATCGCATCGAGTCGTTGTAGATGGCGCAGTGAGCAATTAGTTATCGTTGTCAAAAGCAGATCTCCAGAGCCTGCCACAGCATGTTGTCGTGTGTGCTTTGCAATGCGCAGGCAATCGGAGGCATACGATGCGAACGAAGATGAAAGAGGTGGATGGGGTGAATTGGTTCGATGCAGCCGTGATGAATTGCAAATGGAAGGGCCCATTGCTGAGAGAGCCAGCATCTCGCTGTGCGACGACGATCGGAAGTCAGCGCACGTCGCCTTCGCATCATACGAAGCAGAATGCCAGGATGATTCGTGGTATGGCGCAAGCATTCCACTAGACCGCGCAACGAGACGAGACGCTGAAGTCGTTCTTGCGCTGGAGATGAACGACGAGCCGCTGACTATCTCGCATGGCTATCCGGTTCGAGTTGTAACGCCCGGAATTGCTGGAGCTAGATCAGTAAAGTGGCTAAACCAGATTACAATTCAAAAGAAAGAGAGTCAGAATCATTACCAGCAACGTGACTACAAAGTAATGCCACCTGAAGCCACAGATGCTGAGACTGCGGAGAAGTATTGGGACACAACTGCTGCCATTATGGAAATGCCTGTGAATTCAGTGATAGCCTGGCCAGAAAGCGGCGGTAAAGTGCGTCGGGGTGAGAACGATCTTGTTCAAGTGCTAGGCTACGCGCTTCCGAGTGGTGCAAATGGTCCAGTGGTCAAGTTCGAAGTCTCAAGCGATGGAGGATCGAGTTGGACAGAGGCGGAGCTGATCGATCATGAAGAGGAAGGCAAGTGGTCTCGGAAACTCTGGCAGATGGTGATCGCATTGCGTCCTGGAAAATGCCCCGCGCTTTACAGCAGAGCAACTGATGCCGCCGGTAATACGCAGCCGGAAGAATCGCAATGGAATCTGAGGGGAGTGTGCTACAACGAGTGGGGAGCGACCGAAGATTTTGAAATCCTCTGAGCGCCGCGGCGGCCATCGCCTCCGTAAGCCACTAAATCCCAAAGCTATTCCAGTGTTGTGCGACCTCTCAGTCCTGTGGCACAAAGTTTCGGAATGATCGAAGATGACATTCGAAGGCAACCATGATTTCGCATGGGATTGGCGAGGGTCGCAAGGATCGCATTCGACGATGTTGTTGAGTCGAGGACGCTCTCCGCAGGAAAACCCACACAGTTCGGAGTTGATCCGACTTCACCAGGGTCAAGGTTCCCACTCGTGGTCTTCCAAACTTCCACCCAGAGATCAGCTCCTCGTTGTGAATGCTGTGTGCCATAACTCAAAGACACGTGTCGTGAAGGCGCAAGAAATGCGTCCAGCGGCCGCCCAACCACCTTTACTTAGACCACCATGGCTCTTGTAATTTTCTTCGATGAGAAATCGCACCCGTAGCTGTTCAAGATGCTGGTCGCCAGCCAACAGGGTTGGGTATCGACCGTCCTGCACCTTCAGCTTCGCTGTGCGCCGGCCGCTTCGAGTCTTTTCGCATTTGCTGCTCGGCCAAGGTGAAGATCTTCATGGTATGATCCCACACCTTTGATCCCAAGCCCATATCGCGATACTTCCGAAGCACGCTCTCATCACCTGTGGACTTGCCATCCCAATCGAGCAGATATGCTCCACTGCCCGGCTCGAAATCGGTACCGCGCATTACTGAAAGACCCTCAGGCGGGGGAATGCCAACGCCCCCTTTTCGAGAAGGGTAGCATTGACTTGTCATCTGGAAGAGGTGACGTTCGCCAGATTCTTGGACATTGATGATCCAAGGAGTCATGACGGCATACATGACTTTCACGGCAAGTCGCACAGGTCCGCTGAGCTCGTTTGCGATGCCGGTCTTTACAGTGCCCGGATATGAATGGCTGAAGGCAGTGCCAGGATAGCGTTTTGCAAGCTCCTCCATGCAGAAGTCGGTCATGACGACGCAATGTGCCAGGCATGCATGTAATGTAAAGTTACGCTTGAGGTCCAGGTCGTCGATGCGAATATCGCCTTCAGATCCAGCCGCGAGCACGGTGATGACGCGAGAGAGCTCATTCGCCTCGGATGCTGCCGTGAGCAACGGCATAAGACCGAGTATGCATCGAATGCGGGAGTAGTAGTTGACAGCCATTTTCTTGTCGATGCCTTCGGTGGTCTCATTCCGCCCTCTCAGCGTCATGTAACCCGCAGTGAGGAACAAGCAGTGGATCTTTGACTCGCGCTCCTTGAGCTCTGCACAGAGTTCGTCACAATTCCGGAGAAGGCTGATGTCCCTTTGCAAGAAGATTGCTGTGCCGTCTGGATTGATCTCATGTAGCTCGTTGCAAATCTTGTTGCCACGTTCTTCGCTCCTAGCGTTAACGAGTGGACGTTAGTCGGTCTCCCGTCCCCGAAAGCAAACGCTTACATGTGCCCACCTTCCCACGATGTATGCTTTCGGTCGCGTGGTGCGCAGGAACATCTCCTTCGCGGTGCTCTCGCCAATGCCGCCTGTCCCGCCGATGAACACCGCCACCAGTCCCTCGAGGCATTTCGCCTGGGCGTTGGACTCGCGCACGGCATCGATCCGAACCATTTCCAGGTTCGCTCCTGCGTGGATTAGTCGGGTTGCTGCAGGAAAGGTTCCGAGAGTGTCGGGTACCGTAGAGGAGAGTATCCGTGGTGGGGGAGGGTGATGCGTGAGCTGCCACGCGTGTAGCGAGCCCACTGCTTTGATGCTCTGCGTCAGCGGGTGATGTGAGGTGTCCGTCTTCCAGCAAGTTCTGGATGTCGATCGAGGCTGCCGTAGCTTTCGGCACCGCGATAGCGAGTCGGCGACTGAGACGGACAAAAGTTTAGTGTATGAGGAATCGCGGAAGACTTAACAGCACGCTTTGTCGCCGGTATTCTCACAGGCTGATGAAGCCAGGTTTATGCAGCATCGTAAGGCCACAGCACTAACGCCACACTATGGCCTAAGTTACAGCTTCGCACTCAGCTCGTCTACTGCCTGAGGCCTCTATTCTAGAACTTCCAAGCTCTGCCAAGGCGATGGTACAGTAGAACTACAGGATCAGCATGGGGCCAATGCATGTTGACATCACCTCTCTCTTCATCAGCCACAAGGCTTCATCATCTGCTTCCCACAGAAACTGAACGTGTAAATGATCCGGATGCACAATAACACAAGCTTTCATCAAGTATGGGGGCGTGGGTCTTCTCACTATAGGACAAATACCATACCGATACTGTTGGACCAGGAGGTTATGCTGATTAAATTTCCCAATTCAGCAAGCATCCCCGCATCCACCGCCAAAGTCACCAATCAATGCAGCTAACGCAGACGTACGTGCTGATCAGCAAGACAAGGAGGAACAAGAGAACAAGTCTCCGAATATCCAGCAGAAAGACGAAGACACGGGCAGGGAATAGCTAGACACATCATAAACTGTCTCGCGCCACATATGTCCTCTTCATTTCATTCCAATATTCGTACAACCCAACCACATTACACTTCAATGTCCTCCCACCTATCCTCATCATCTAGTATGAAAGTACAAAGAAAATCCAAAAGAAAAACTCCAATCCATGCGATTTCGTTGTTCGCGTATCTACATTGGGTCGCATTCCCCATCCATCGCCCCAACGCCAAGGAAAAAGTGAGAATTGTGTGAAAGAAGTCGCTTTCAAGGTATCCAAACAGGAAGGGAGAGGCGCCCGCAAAAGTGTGCTTGGCGAAGAAGTATGCCGGAATAGTGCTTTTGGTCGTCAGGTCAAGGGTGGCCTACAGGGAATGCTTGCTGAGTCGGCGTGCGAGGCCCGTCGTCGGAGAAGCCAGTGTCGATTCGAAGGGGTTTCATATTACCGCTGATCTTGCGAAAGTCATCATCATCATTATTAGGACCACCACGTCCGCTCTCGAGGATGAACTGCTTGAATTTCATATGGTGCTTATCGTCTTCCGGCATGAAGTCCGGCGAACATACTTGTGGTGCTGGTATTCGCGGCACGTCTGAGGCTTTCTTTGGTGTTTCATCATCCATTCCGTCGAAGTATGAGGCACGTTCAGTGAGGTCGGCTTTTGGTGTCGTGTCATACTTGACTTGCTCCAGCATTTTCCCAATGCTACCGACAGAGCCAGGTCGCTCAAACTTTTCATCCTCAATCTCCATATTCACCGGGATGTTGTTGAGCAGCGACCAGTTTCGATTGAGATACTGTTCGAGGCGATAGCATTGACGATCCCACTGCTCGGTCAGCAGTCGATGGGTGGTTTGCACATCTTGAATCGTGAACGAGCCAGAACTGCCTCCTATCGACGGAGATGGGCTGTGTGATTTTCTGATAGGAGGTAGCGCCAGAGAAAGCGGTGAGCTACTATTGCACCTGTCAGGAGCTGATGAAGGTGACCTGTTGGAGTATGATGGCAGCGCAGGAAAGGATGGCGCATATCCAGACGTTGCTCGCTGTGTGCTCTTTCGCACACTTGCAAACCCTCGACGGACTGCAGACCCGCCACCTAGCGAGGAAGCCTTCGAATTTGTGGGCGATACAGGAGGGTCAGTCTCGCCCATGATCTTCATAGTGGCTTCGGCTGACTTGAAAGCTGCCTCCCTGCCATCGTTCATCGTAGGCAAGTAGACAAGTGTGGTATTGTCAATTAGCGCATTGACCAGATCTGTAAGACCATGGAGCGGAATTTCATTGTTGTCGCAATGGAGCTCAAGCAGTGTTCTGTTCTCGCGCAGAACTTCTGCTAGGGTGCTAGCTCCTTGAAATCCTAGCTTCTGTTTCTCAATTCGGAAGACCTGAATGGTCTTGTTCTTCTTCAAGCCTGCTAGGGCTTCGTTGATACCGGGTCCGAACTTCGAGGCGGCCAGCCGAGAATCGTCTCCAGAGATGTCAAGCTCCGTGATCGTGCTGTTCTCACTCAGAAGACGTGCGATCGCTCTGCATGTGTCATCGCCAGCATCGCCTGGGAGTGCTGTCTGTGACATATCTAGAAAGCGGATGTTCCTGTTAGACGTCAACGCTGTGATGACTTTGCGGAATTGTGATTCCTCTTTGTATTCGATCGCTCTCATGCTGAGATGTGACGGGGTCAAATTGCTTGCGATTGCCCGAGTCACCTTCTCAAGTCCTTTGCTGAGCAGGCATTGGCTAAAGTCGAGATGCATATTCCGTGTACTAGTATGGTCCCAAGACAAGCTGTGGAGGATCGTGGCAATGTCGCCTCCAGAGAGATATGTATTGTCGAGATACAACTCATGAAGACTTGCTGACTGCGGATGGGCGAGGTACGTGGCGACAGCGTCAATCGTGGCTGCGTTCAGGGCTGTTCCACTCAGACGAAGCTCCTGCAGCCGCCAGACGAGTAGCGTTTCGGCCTGAAGAAATGGCTCCGAACCTGAAGTTCGCGAGACATTGGATAAGTTGAGCTTGCGAATGAAGCCGAACATAGCAAGCTGGCTATCAAACGTCGACGGATTGAGTCTGGCGGCATTACCAGCGATCTCAAGCGACTCGAGGGTGTTTTCTTGGGCGCGTAGTGCATCAAGGATGAGTCCCATGCTTCTGTCATTCAGGCCACAACGACTCAGCTCGATGGCACGGAAATGGCAGGATTTGTCCACAGCGGCAGCAACCAGATAATCCTGATCCGTGTCCGTGAGCTCAATTCCATTCAAGCAGATCCAATCCACGTTGGTAGTTTGATGTTTGCAGAGTGGGAACAGAGCTTCAACAATCCCACAGCCTATCTCGCTGACTCGCGAAGGCTCGTCTTCGGTCGGAGCGGCGGTCGTGCGCTTTACTGTCACGCAGCCCGAGAAGTCCATCCGCCGCAGCTTCTTGCTTGTCGCAGCTAGGGCGCGGATCTCTTGGACCAGGAGCGAAGACCGACTCAACTCCTCTGGAGTGAGTCGGATGGGTGTTCCACGCTTTGTCCTTGTGCAAACATGCTCTTGCCCGTAATTATCGTGAAGACCATTTATATTATCAAGTGCAATGCCAGCGAAGGATATGCTGCGAAACGTCTCGTTGTAGCGTAACGCGCGTGAAATCGCAAGTAGTTCGAGGGGCCCATAATTTGGCCGCCTCGTATCTGTAGGTTGCAGTAATTCGAACCGAGGCGCATCTTCGCATTGATAGTTGATTGTATATCTAATGTTCGAGGGGTTGACTCCGTAGGCAACACAGTATGCTATCAGACTGCGATCGAGACAGCTGTGTTCTTCCAGATTGGAGTCAGCAGGTGGTGCAAGAAGATCCTCAACCTCAATGGGTGCAACAAATCTGAATAACCTATGCCCGCACTCTGGACGCAGATAGTTTTCACACCAGTGTAGTCTCGCCGCAATCTCGTGCGATGAGGAAGAGGCAAGGTACAATATTCGAGGTTTCTGGAGAGGTTGTCGGAATGTCAGCTCAAATGTGTCGTCCTGGCTGCTGACCTTGATTCCGGTAAGCGTGAGAATGCCATGAGACACTTGCGAGTGATTTGGTGCGAGGGATGGGCTCGATGTCCTAGCCACAGGCTTTACTAGCTGGATCAGATGTACTTTGTGTACCCCGATTGCTAGAAAGCAGACGGTGGAAGCTACTTTGGTGAGATCGTCGGAGGATGACCTGCTCCCCGACTTGACCGCTTGCTGCCGCTGTACCACCTTATATATAGCGCAATTAGAAGGGTCATAATCGTTGTCGCGTTCGACGATGCGACAGGCATTCTCGAGGTTGTAGGGTGAAATATAAGAAGTCTCTCTTGACCTGACATCGCTGATGGCACTTCGTATTCGTCTCAGCCATGTATCTCGCTCTTCTGGAATGCCGAATTGCAGAGTCATTGCAGAGGCTGGTCCTGAGTCCTCGTCAAGATAGCACACTTCGAAGGCGAAATATGTTTTCCATCCTCCAGAATATGGGTCGCTACTACCTGCCGTAGTGGAACTCGGCCGTCCTTGTCGCCAGAAGAGTCGGAAAGAGTTTGGAGGTCACTATGTGAGCCTATTGAAGGCATGGAGCCATGCCGCACCGTAGGGCTTCGAGTACTTGGATTTGCAATGGATCTGAAGTTCTCGGCTGCCTTCGTCTGCGACTTGTAGCGCAGAAGATAATTCTCGGTGAGCACCAGGTACTCTTTCTTCTTGCGAAACATGCCTGCGCTCGTCTGTACCTCCCCATGCAACAGCACAGCTTTGGAGGAGGATGCGCCAGCAGTTGCCTCCAAGACATGATCAAACCTGATCGATGGTGCTTTGGAGGATGTGCTCGACAGCGGCTCACCACCTCCTGCGCTGAGTCCATTCCCGAGCAGATCCTCGCTGCTCCCTCTTGTCATGGTATTCTTTAAGGACTCGAATACCGAGGGTGGTCGTTTCACAGCTCTCATGCTGAGTGAGGGCCGGCGCGAGGATGATCGAGGTGGGTCTGACGGTGGGCGGGGAGAGTTCGCATCCTTCTCCCTGGCCACATCGGGATGGTCGAGGTCGGTGAACAGACTTGGAGTGCGAATGTGCTTCGGCTTCTTCTTGAGAGTCTTGGGCGGTTGCAGGCCGCCACTACCATTGCTTGCGCCATGGTCTTGCTGGTCAAGGTGCAAGGTCGACTTCAGACCGAGGCCAGAGAGGCCGAAGAAGCTCTTGCGCCTGCCCCAGGAGCCGTTGCTGTCATGGCTCTTCCTTTCCATTGCTCCCTAGCGCGAGCTGGTATGGAGATAGCATAGGAAGGCGCGGGAAATTGGGGCTGTCTGGCTGTACGAGGAGGGCAGGTCATCGGTAGCTTTTTTCCGTGCGGATGATCACGCTGCTCTGGCCGCGCTATAGGTGAAGTGAATAGTATTATGGCATCGCTGGCAGAGGCGCCTGCACCTGCTCGCCTAACAAGCAACGCTCACACGCCACGTGCGGCCGAAAGTAGTCAGGGTGTGAAGAACGAAGGCATTGGAGGCGGCGGTTCGCAGTGACGACGAGACAGGCGGGCGGAGCGCATGCGGGAAGCGCATGCGGGAACTTGGAAGGGTGTTTTGGCTTTGACAAAGAAGAGCTTGGATATGACGCCACAGGACCGCACCGCGCCGCCTCACGCGAGAATACTATAACGAGGCCAAGGCAAATGGCGATCGTCTCGGTGCTTGTGTGTTGCTGCGCTGCCTCACCTTTGACCGCATCGCCAATAACGATCACCCCCACACACTACTGTAGACTAGTAGACTCCTGTTATGATAATGATATCGTATTCTACCGAGCGCATCAATTTGCGCAAGCTTTCTCCAATACATTGCAGAGTTTCAGACGAGATCTTCTGACCACGGCAGGCGACAACCTTGTCGCCGCTATCGTTACCGCTACGCTACGCTACCGTTACAATCCTACTATTCTCGATCTCAGTGCGGAGAAACGAACGAAAAGTGGCGACGGCAAGGCAAGGCCATATCACAAGCCTCCCGACGCAGCTTACTGCCAGTCATCAAGGTTATGAGCAGCCGACCTCGTTCTGCCTATATCAGCAGACCATCTTCTCGCCTCGCACAACGCATGTAATTATACACATCCCTGACCAAGTATACTCTTCCACCGTACAGTGTACTTCGGATGTAATCAACTGGTGGAAATCACTCATTTGCTGCCGACTGGGCAACTTACCAACGCCCTCCGCTCGCTTTGAGCACATGCTATTCTATCAGCCCTGACGCCGAATCCGGTCCATTTCGAATTTGGCCGTGTCCATATAGTCCATGTCAGAGCAGCCAGAACCTCGAGACCGGCCAATAGTCATAGCCCAAGTGTATGATCTCCTTGTGTCTTTGCAAAAACGCACTCCGCATGACGCTCACCAGTCTGCTCCACCTATCGCGTAATCGAAGACGAGCACTAATAAACCAATGCGAAAACACAAGAGCAGATCACTGATGAACAGTAGTGAAGTGCACAGTTCGGCAACAGACGGCCTGAACGAGGACGCGAACTCATCAATGGCATATGAGACAGCCCTGCCAGACCTCAAATCCCCTCGTTCACCACCGTACTGAATCAGCGATTGCATTTGACAGGACGACAGCACTTTGGCATCTGCAGGGCACGACAGCTCCATGAGTGATGGGCCAAATGACCAGTCGTGGGTCTCCTCATTCGCAATACTTAACAAACACGGCAGGAGCACCGAGCAGACAGCTGCGAATCTTCACGCACCTGGGCTGCCCCTGCTATGCCCGCACGAATACGATGAGGTTCCTACAAACTTACCACACGCTCGGGCTATGGTAATCATCCGTGAAGACTCTGAAGAGTCTGAACTCTGAGAAGACCACACCGGTGACCGTAGTTAATTTGACATTTACCTACACCGAAACACAGCCATCGATACGAGACACCCACGACTTCACCAGAAAAGTCCAGGCATGAAACAATCTCTGCACCTGAGCCCGCATTGCGAAACGGGCCCGCAGCAAGTTCGCCCATTCTTCTGTTCTCTGTCTCCTTCACGCATATCCCAAGCTAGAAGACGAAGAAACCTCTTCACCTCCTCAGCCTTGGAACTCAAGGACAGGACAGCGATACTTTAGCTGCTGCTGAGGGATGCGATGCGTCAGGGCTGCAGAAACCTAATAACTAATCCACGAAAGCGGTAACATAATCATTCTATCCTCTATATACAACTCTACTTACTCCTTCAATTTCCTCGTCGCAAAACTCGAAACAACAGCCGTAATCGCACCAATAAACAAACAAACCCCAATCCCGCTCACACCTTCCGTAGAATGATGTTCATCCGGGTGCGAATCTTTCGCAAGTTCAGGACTCTTCCCAGGTTCCAAGATCGAGAACACGACCCAACTAATCGCCGTGCCCACGAATTGTGGAAGCGTAGTGTAGATGTTCAAAATGCCCAAATATATCCCGCTGAGTTCGCCCGTACTCGAGGATCCGAGGGAAGATTGCGAAGAGTGGCGGAGGTGGAGGCATGTGTCGTCGGCAGCACGGTCCGAGAGTTCGAGGCCTTCGTTGGAGTCGCGCCGGTTGTTCACGACGGTGTAGCGGTGTGTAGTGCTGGTGGGAAGGGAGGTTGAGAGTTTGTTGATTTCGACACCAATGTAAGTCGTCGCAGCGAAACCACTAATTGCGCTGGGGACTCCAGTAGCTGCCATGAGGAAGGTTGCGAGACCGACGGATTTGATGAGAGGTGCCCACACCAAGCATAAGCCAAGCATGGCGTTGCCACAAGTCCAGACATCGAGGAGCGTAGGCTGCTTTGCTCCGACCTTCTCGACAATCGGACGTAAGCTCTCGGGCGGCCTAGGCGTGAATTTTCGTTCTGTTTCTTCGTCGCCGGGACTTGTGACCAGGTTTGGAAGCAGGATTGCTGTTATGAATCCGGTGAAGGAATGGATGATGAGCGCTGTGCTACCGACTCGGCCGACCTGACTTAGCGCGTCGTCACGGTTAGAACCTGTTTGAGGCGCATCATGTCGTAGGTAGATCTCTCCGACCCATGTACTGCCGTAGAACATGAGCGGGAACCAGCCGATCCAGGCCCAAAATTGGACATTGCAGATGAATTGGATGCGCTCGGGAACGTACAACGCCCGCTCGTAGATCTGGCGTATGATAGACACCAGGCTTTGGTCAGACCCTGCATCATGTTGTTTACTTCTGCAATCGATCAGCATTTGTTTAACGGCTGCTGTTCGAAAGTGCTTACCCATCAGAAACCAACACTCGTTCCTCCACAGCCCAGCATGTGACACTGAAGCTAATGATCATAGCCAGCGCCGCAAAAGCGCAGACCTTCTTGAATTGCGTATCGCCGAACATTGGTGGCAGGATGGCGTTCAAGTCGAGAGCGCCGAACCCGAAGACCAAGATATGTCCCAGTCCAACCATCCTAGTAACTTCAGAACTTCAGAACTTTCCGGATCTCGATCACTTTCAAGGTAACTCACCCCAAGCAGCTCCAACCTGTTGTTTCGACATTGGTAAAGCATCGACGACCAGAGCTCTGCATGTGGCTTGAGCTACAACGTCACATCCGCAGTCAGCATCTATCCAGACCAATATCTCCATCTCGATCTCTCTTACCAATGTTAATCATAAAATCCAGCACATAAATATCCACAACAGCAAGCTTAATCGTCATAGCATTCCTCCTCGGCCCCTCTTCCACAAAATGTGCTACAATCTCTTTCGCCCAGCCCATAATCAGCAGACAAACCGCAACAGCAATTGTGCCTCCCACCATGAACTATCCATGCCAAATGTCAGCGCCTCTCCAACCCCTTCTTCTTCTTCTCCTGTGTCTCACTCACCGGTCTCCTCCTCCCATACTTGCTCGTACTCTTATCCGAAATCATGCCAATGATCGGCTGCATAATAAGCCCACTCAAAGGCCCGGCTATCCACACCAAACTCATCCCACCTTTGCTCAGACCCAAAGCTAGTAGGTAAGGTGTCGCGTATGTTTGTTCCGTGCCCCAGCAGAACTGTAAGCCGATGAGAGAAAATGTGAGGAGGAACATGCGCATGGCTTCTGTGCTGCCTTTGATTCGTGGTTGGCCGGTCCATGATGATGCTGATGACGAGGGTGGTGGTGTGGTTGCCGTCATGGCGATGATGAGGGACGATGCGGAGAGTCGGAGAGGTGATCTTGGTGTTTTGCGCGCCCGCGCGCGGCTTTCGCACCTTCACTCTCCCTGGGTTAGGCGTTGTTGATAAGCATTGAAGATAGAAGATCCCTGGTCAGGGGGATTTGGCGGAGGACAGCGGTTTACATTCGTCGACGATTGGAGTCGCGAGGTGTTCTGGAGCTTCAGTTTCGAGGTCGTAAGCAGAGGTTGACTATCAAAGGCGTGGAGGTCGCACGTTGTGGAGAAGAAGGTGAAACAGAATAGCTGTGAAAGCGCAATTGAAGATCGTCAGCGGAACGGGGGAAACGTGGCACGCATTGGACAGAACCTTATCCTCGCGCTTGGACGCCAAGGCATGTGACACACAAGGGACGATGAGGAATTGAGGAATCGAGGAATCGAGGAATCGAGGAATCGATCATAGGTCAGGTCGTTATGGTCAATGTATATTCTACTGCACGCCAATTTGTGGGTATCTTGTCTTTACAGGAGCCTCCTCCTCCTCCTCCTCCTCCTCCTCCTCCCAACCAGCCATGAACCAATCCATCTACTTCCCAAAGATCCTGTCAAAGATCTGGACCAATACCCTCCCAACCATCGTAGCCGCAGCCACGGGCATGAAGATCTGAAAATACTCCATCGATCCTCTAGGTCTAACTTCGGTATTAATGTATGGTGTCTTGAAGCTGTCCGTGGGTCCATCTTCAATATGCACAGCCACTTTATCCGCTGGGAACCTTCCAGTCTTGATGAACGTCTCAAGCAATTCATCCTTTTCCCTCCATCGCGCCAGGACCCATTCGTGAAACTTATCCTTATCGTCCAAAGGCATGTCCTTGACTCTGTACCGTCGCCAATGCATGTTCACGCTCTTTGGTGGCCGACCTTGGAAGTAGACGGATCTAAGGGTGAATAGCTCTGACGCATATCCACTAGGTGGAACACCTTCGTATCCTATGGTGCAGTCGTAGACATAGTCAACCGTATCCCTAAGTTCCTGCAAGCAAAACTGAAGCCCAGTGCTGCGCGGCAAGACCTGATGCTTCAGATCTGCTTGACCAGACTTTTCAGCGAACTTCTGCGACTGCTTTCGGGTGTTCGCAGATAGATTGGTACCCTCTGGGAATATGAGCAGCCACATTGGATCCAGCTGCGCAGCTCCATGCTGACCAGACATGGGACCAGAATGCCTAGTATTCAGCTTCTGCAATCTATACCGCATGCGCTGCTGATCGGTGGACCATTTCCGTGCCATGAATATGAAGCCGTACAGCTGCATCGCTGGCCCAATGAGCGGTACCCATTTGAGCGAGTCTTTGAGGATGATATAGATGTGTCCATGCATGGGTTGGCTGTTCGTATATGCAATCCACCACAGGTATAGCCAATCCGTGTATATCTGGTGATTGGCCATGATTACCGCTCGATCCTCGAAATTGAGCTCCAGCAATCCACTAGCATCCTGCCTCAATTGACCTGCCACACTCTTATCCCCGCTGATTCTGACCACAGTCGGACTCCACAGTTGGGTCATGGTTGTGATGATAAGGGCAAAGAACTGCTTCGCCAGTGCCTGCGATGCGTAGAACCAGTCCTTATTGATGAAATACAGTGGCACTCCCATGATCTGTGCGCCATGGGCGAAGAAGCAGGAGCCGAAGAAGTATATGCCAAAACCAACGATGCGGAGCAACTGCATCGCGGCGCCATGCTTAGCTTCGCCGAGGGGATGCTCAGGCATATTCTTGATCGACCCATTCTGTTGGGTTGGCGCAGACTGGAGACCAGTCTTGCGCTGCTTGAGCTCGCTCATCCGGAAGAAGTTCTACCTCGAGACGTAGGTATGCAGTGTTGCGGAAGCGATCGGCTTTGACGTGTTCAGTGAGGAATGTCTCGTGTAGGATTCGTTGTGTCCGTTGTCAGCGTCGCCCGCGGCGCTGAGCAGATAATGCTAACACATGTCTTGGGTGTCAGTAATCAGCAGACAAGCTGGAATGCTGCTCCGCTCAGATGCGATTGCTATACTAAGCAGCGAAGAACACGTGGTGGGGTGTCTCAGGTGGAAAGCAGCACCAGACGCACGCTTTCTTGTCTTTGTCCGGATGAAAAATCCCGAGCCTCCGACCAGGTTTGAAGGAAGGCCCTGCATCAGATGCAGTGCATCGTGCCCTTGTCGCAGATCATACACTTGTCGTCCGCCAAGACATATCGACCTCACCTGTTGGATCCAGGCAGCAAGCGTGGGAGCGGGAGATGATGGCAGGATGAAACGCGTCTGGCAATGTCGGCGACGCATACACGCACCCGCACGATGCTTCACAGCGTCTGCAGCTCGATGCGAGGTTCGGCATATCGCTGAACTCCCTCCGCGAATACATCCCAAGTTTCAGGGTATCACATTGCGGATATTTGCACTGCTAGCTATCTTCTAATGAAGTCACAGAGACCAAGAGTCACGATCTGCTGGCCCTGGCATGGCCGTCGCCTCCTCGAAACGTGCTGGTCGTCCGGAAGGATCATGACTCCGAGGTCCACAAGGCACTGATAGACTATGCAAACCACATCAACGACGTCTATCCAGACACGAATTTGATCTTCGAGCCATATGTAGCTCACAGTATTCACGAGCAGCTTGGCTTCCCCGTCTACGCCACGAACGGCGAAGGCAACTCGGCGTATGAGAAGCATGTTGATCTCACCACTACTCTCGGAGGCGATGGCACAATCCTGCATGCCGCCTCTCTTTTTGCTACGGCAACAAGTGTGCCTCCTGTGCTCTCGTTCTCCATGGGCACGCTAGGCTTCCTGGGCGAGTGGAACTTCAACGAATTCAAACGTGCCGTCCGGGAAGTGTTCATGTCTGGAGCCCCGATATCACTGCCTCCCAAAAGCACAGATGAGCCAGAGCAGCAAGAGAGGTCTCAGGCCTGGATGAAAATCCGAGGCAAATCGATGGGCTCCTCTCGAAACTCCCGAATCCTGCTTCGCAATCGACTCAGGATAGGCATTTTCGACTCGGATGGAACACGATTACCACACGAACCGCCGTTTGCGCATGCAGACAACCGGGGTGAGGGCATATTCGCTTTGAATGAAGTCCTGCTACATCGAGGAGCCCTGCCTCATTTGGCCCACATCACGATACTCATTGGCTCGCCCCCTCATCAAAAGATCTTGACGACAGCAATTGCAGACGGCTTCCTGGTTTCGACTCCGACAGGCTCTACAGCTTACAGCTTATCAAGCGGCGGGAGCATCGTGCATCCATTGGTGTCTTCGATTCTTCTCACGCCTATCTGTCCTCGCTCGCTTTCGTTTCGGCCTCTGGTACTTCCAGCAAACACCCCTATAACACTCAGGATTGAAGCTGCAAACCGTGGTAAGGAGATCGAAGTCTCTGTTGACGGTGTCAGACGGCAGGAAGGGTTGAGGACAGGAATGGAGGTCCGTGTCGTTGGTGAAGAGGTTCGCTCTCCTGGTGCACCTGGAGCACGAGATTGGATCCGTGGTGTGCCGAGTATAGTACGCTCAGGTGGCGATGCAGACGGTGATGATCATTGGGTCGGCGGCTTGAACTCCTTGCTAAAGTTCAACTACCCGTTTGGAGACAATGGTTGACGTGAATATAGAGCTATAGAAAATTAAGATGCTCGATGGCGCGAGACGTCATGGTACACAGCTGCTACTTCTCTCTGTCTTTGACTCTTCGGTGAATACGCAGACATGGCGCAATTGGGTCCGAATGCACTGGACTCTCTGCCATCATTGTATAGCACAGCCACGCCTCTGCCGGCCCATATCTTCTTCCCGTCCTCCTCCACCCTTATCCAGAGTCGAAGAGCATTCGATCGAGCAGCACGATCTGTCTCAGGCCCCACGAGTACTCCCATCATGCCACATAATCAAACAACAGATGCCTCAGCAAACATGTCGCCAAAATTCGACATCCCTCAACTCCGCTACATCGAGCTTCCCTCCAATCACCCAGAAACCAAATCCCCCTGCGTTTTCGACACCTCTCCAACCCCAGTGTACCCACGCAACAGCTACGACGTCCCAACTCCACCCGATCACGACCCCGACTCATCCTGGTGGCCAGATGGCCTCCTAGAGCTCGACCCCCGTCCGCGTAATCTGTCCAAGGCTTGCAGAAAAGCAATAAAAGCCGGACCCCGAAACCACTTCCTCCGCAATCTGATAAAGTTGATTGGCGAGTATAGGCCCTACGGAGAGAAAGATATCTGCAGGGAGTACATATATCAATCGAAATTGCAGGAGACACGTCGACAAAAAGCTAAGAAAAGGCTCGAGACCGCTGTGAATCGAGCTGCCGAGGAGGAGAAGGAGAAAGTGAGAAAAGCGATAGTGGAGAAAGAGGCGAAAAAGGAATTTCAGGAGAGAAATAGAGGTAAGAAGTTCTCGTCCCCTCGTAACAGACTTGTTGAGACCAACTGACCTTTTTTTTGTTAAAGCAAAAAACACAGCCCACTCCATCCTCAAAAATGCCCTACACTTCATAGCCTGTCCCCCCAAACTCAAAGACCTCATCCTCTCCGACTTCAACCTCACAGAGCAAGAAACCTCTCAACGCAAACTCCTCCGTCCTTGGGCCACTTCCCCTCCCCCACCCCTTCGCCGTCATACGATTTGTTATCACCCTCCAAACCCCGAAACAATTCGAAAAGAAAATTTGAAAAAGACGAATGAAACTGAGGCGGCGGTGAAGTTGTATGCGATGTGGGCGGACTCTCCGTTGGGGTTTCCGGCTGGGGAGGAACCGGGGGATTTGGAGGTTACGAAGGAGTGGGAGGAGTATATGAGACAGGTGAGGAGGGGGGAGATTAAGGCGGGGGAGCGGAGGAGGTATTGAGAGACTGTCGGATATGTTGGGACATGGAGGTTGTTAGGTAGGAAGTAGGCACTAGTGAAATAGTTGGCTGACATTAGCGGTCGTTACTGTCATGAGCTAGGGGTATCTCAGGGATCAAGCTATTTGTACACATTTTGGAGAGATAAATTGTAGTTCGTGAGAGGGTCGTGTCCATCGGGCTCTCGGTGTCCACACGATCATGTTCATTTCGCATGAAATTCCTTCATATCACTCGCAGCATCACTCTTCGTTCCCATCCCACTCTCGCTCCTCAATGCCGAGAACTCCGTCTCCGTTTCAAAAGACTTGACGGTAGAATTAACTCTCGCCACCCTCGGCGTCTGCACCGATCCAAGCGGAATGATATCGTCGTCCCTCGTCACATTCGAAGCATTCGTGGAGAGGATATTGTTCTTCGCTCCAGATCTTCTGCTCCTTCGACTGGATCTTGACAGACTTTCGCTCGAATTGTTCCTAGATCTTCGCCAAGGCATGAGCCAATCGATGACTCGTGCCTTTCTCTTATTCTCTTCTTCGGTCGGTGGAGGTAACGCTTCGGTCGCGTTGGCATATGCGTTGCCTGCTTCGTCGAGGGCCATGGTTCGGTTGAAGGCGGCATCTCCGAGTGGTGCTGTAGGATTATTGCAGCCGGAAAGTCGACTACCGATATTGACGTTCCAGCCTGCGATTTCTAATTGATCGAGATCAACACTGGCTCTGCTCCAGAGCATTCCCATCCTCATGTTTCGAACTGTGGCTGCATTCGTCATTTCTGGAATACGGAAGTATTCGAGATTTTGGATGTATTCGTCGACGAAGCTTGTATCGCTTCGTCGTGTGCTTCTCTGCTGCGGCTGATATAGACCGGGCTCGATCGATTCTACGCCGCCTTTTGTCGATTCGCCTACAGCATCGGGTGCCCAGCGTTTGACGAAGTTTCGTATACCTGGCATACATGCTGCCAGAACCCAGAAGTCGACTTCTATTGTTGACCATCTCGCTATCCAGTCGTAGTCCCAAGTCGGGTTCAGCGTATTGCCGTAATAGATCATGACACGAAGACGGAGAATGCTCACAAGAGACACCCAGACACCTGCACCAAACATGAGTATGACAAGTACCTTCTTGCGCTGGTTGAGATCCATCTTCCAGATCAAAGGCATCGGCATTCCCAGCACAACCAGGTCAAAGATGATATTGAATCCAGACGCTGTCCACGCTGCCGGTTGCCGCTTCATCCAGCAGTACCCGACGTGTCCTTGTCCTTTGTCCCATTCCTTCCAGGCGTATGATAATGGTATGCATTGGAAAGCTGCGAGCGAGTCGTACAGTAGCATGAACACCGTGTTCAATGCAATGACCAGCCAGACGAGCTTCCGAAACCTAGGGGATGCGAAGAAGCGAAGATAGGACAGCAGCATGGATGTCTTGACCATTGACAAGCCTGTAATGTATAAGAGCTCTCCATAGTAGAAGATCTTGAGGAATTTAGTAATCTGAGGAGGCGTCAACGTCCAGATATCCATGCCCAGGCCTGGAGTTGAGATTGGCCTTCCAAGAGAGCTCTGACCTAGTGCAAACAGTACGGTCACTGTCATAGCCACATCGTCCCACCATAATTGAGTAATACATCGAAAGGGACCATTCCACGGCCATTGGACATGTATTTTTGATGCTATCCGGATGCCGTAAGAAAGCGCTGCCACGGTCATGTATATTGCGGAGGAGAATCGAACGGTATTCGACCTGTCACGGATCGGGCGGCCACATATTGTCTGGGTGGTATTTCTCGTGATGAGTGCTTGTCGACGCGTACAATGATCCAGAACGCAGTCCTGGGCCTTCTTGCGGATGTGTTCACTGTCGCATCTGCATTGGATGTCAAGCAGTGAGCAGTTCGAGTATGCAGTGGTTTGTGAATCGAGGCAATTACGCGCACATTCCGGTATTTGCGCGTACAATTCCATAGCCGGACCCAGCTCCATTGCCTTGTGCCATTTTCCGAGCGCCACTGCCGCGAAGTAGTGCGCTGCCCAGACAGTTGTCAGTTTCATTGCATTGGCAGACGCCAAAGGCCTGCTGCAGTCCTCCAGCTGTGATGACCCGATAGTGTGACCCGCTGGGTGGTATCATGAAGGAGTCAGAAGGACGGGAGTTATAGCGCAAGCGCGACCTCAACACATCCCCGCAGAATTGTGACAGATTCGATTCGAAGGTTGGCGAAGGGAGCCATGTTCTGGTCGCCATGGCCTACAGCTCCCTGTATTCTACTGCATCCGCAGAGTCTGCTTCGCAATGGTAGCTTGACCACATCGCTCCTGACGTTGGACGGCCTATTCCCCGGCAAAGAGGAAGTCGGTATTTGAGTTGGAATAGACAGGGAGCTTAAATAGAGCTCCGGCTCCAGTCATCATGGCCGCCATGATCGATTGGAACGTCGGTATTGGTGTGAGGAGAGGCTTGTCCAGGAACAGGCAAAGAGCTGAAACGTGGGCGTGAGAACCCTCAGGCCCGCGCCGATGTGCCGCGCAAGGATGGGCAAGTTCATCGTACAGTCTGTACAGTATTTGACGTTCCCTAACTTCCCTTGCCGTCGGCATGAAAGTTACGTGCCTGTGGTCTTTGACGTGTTGCTGCACAGTGCACATTGATGATACCATAGTGCGAAGCTCAAGGATTTCCAGATCGGTCGATGGCGAGCATGCACACCAACACTCGCCTCCTGCAATCCCATTATTACTGGATCATGCTCATCATTCTTGCCGATGCTGTGTTGGTGCTGTGACAACATCGGCATTTTCTCTGTGGGGAGCAGCCGTTGATGAGTCCAGGCGCGAGCCATCTCGGGATAAGGTACGACATGGCACCCAGGCAGCCAGGCTCTTGTTTCAGATGAATTTGAAAATACGTGAGCACGTCCTTTGCGAGAGTCCAACCGCAACAGTGTGTGTCTTCCCATTTACCCTATGACCCCCGGGAAAATGGCAAAAGCGAGAGCTGTGCAAAACCTGTGAACTAGAATCCACATCGTGTCGCATTCGCTGACTCGAAAGGCCCGTTGTGCAACATGCGGTCATGCGTGCATACAGAAGTCCGTGGCATGGCATGCCTGTATAGCATTCTGCAGCTTCATCCGGGCCGTAAGTCTCATACTCCCCGAAGCTGCACCTTGCACCTTGTTGCAGTTGTTGGGGTGCTCGCACTGCTCATTAAATCTCTGGAAGAGGAAAACCATTGCCATTTGGGAAGCCTTCATTGGTCGTGCTGAACGCAATTAGGCTGTTGCAGTCCGTCAGCTCACAACTCATATACATTGTTTGTTGCTTGCGTACCTTCTCAACCTACTTCTGCACTGCTCTTCGCGGCAGTAAGACGGGAAATTCGGCAAAAGTCAAGTGCTGCAATAAAGCAGTGAGTGTGGCTGTAGCAAGAGTAGGTCTCTTTCTTTCTCTCCATTATGTGTTTACCATACCATGCTTACAAGCCCGGGAAACAGGCTATACAATCCTGCCAATATCTTGACCATCCTTCTCCTTTCGCCGAACCATGCTGCTACTATGCATCAATATTCATACACAAGACGCGCGCCTGGCTCTTGCTTTCTGTCGTCAACCCTAGGTGATTACAAGAATCTGACTCCAACTTTCAAACTGGCCACCTGCCAGGTGTATGCACTCGCAGCTTCTCAGCACGCTCTTCCTCTGCTGTCTCCTGAGATCGACGCGACTGGTCAATGGCAGCGTCTACAGCCGCCCAGTCTGACAAGCTTTCCGACGATGTCGCGCGATCGAACGCGTGCAGCTCGCGAGCATTCTATGCTTTTCGTGATCTGGTGACTCGGCCGCTGGGGGTGGCAGTCACATCCTTTCCAGAGCTGTAGCTGCTGTTGTATCCATTCATCGTCTGGGCATTACCCGACAGCCTTCTCCTGACCTCCTTGACATCTGGAACTTGCTCGTCCTTCATTTCCACGAGAGCACTAGTCGCGCGGCCTCTACCCTTCTTAACTGGCTTCTTGTATGTCGAGATGTAGAATCCAATGAACAGAACCAAGTACGAGCTGAGAATGCCCATGCCGGCAAATGCAGCAAACTCCTCGCCAGCGCAGAGCCCGTAAGTCGGGAGCCATGGGAAGTAGCGGGCGCTGAAGTAGGTGTAGGATGCGAAGTAGACGAATCCAAGATCAATGACGAATTGAATGATCTGGAGCATGGTGATGTACTTCTTCCACCAGATCCTGATGCCGCGCGCCGACTGGAAGTAGTACCAGTACATGACAACGTGCACAGTCAGGTTCAGGGTGATGGGAACCCATGATACCGCGGTATGGCCGAGGAGCTGGGTGTAGCACAGAAGTGCGGTCGCGCCGTGGTGATAGGTGTGGAGGAAGGTGAGCGGCTTCTTCTTGAGGAAGAGGAAGCAGGTGTCAATGAGTTCGAGGTATTTGGTCAGGTAGTTCAGCTGCGCGAGCAAGATTAGCACCACTCTGCGCTCAAAAACATGCTCGGGCTGTCCTTACGTAGTAAAGAACGACCAATGGCTGGGTCCAGCCTCCGTTGTAGTGGCAGATTGCGTAGAAAACACCGTTTCTCGTGATGGTCGGAATCAGCTGCTCCAGAAAAAGAAGCAGCAGTATTCCGCTAATGGCGGTGAGGTAGAAATTGTGAATCTTGAAGAAGGTGTTCAACTTGAAGGCCGGGCGATCCTTCATGAACTCGCGGCCGCCGAAGATAATGATGTAGTAGGAAATCAGAGTAATGGCCGTCTCCGGCATTGAAGCCATTGGAGTTTTGCCCGGCACGAAGCGAAAGTCCTCCGGACTGTATCCCTTGACTGCTTCGAAGGCCTTTTCGAATATGGGCCACAGGTGCACGCCGAAAGGTCTGTCCAGTGTCGGAGCGCCGACTTGGAGCCATTCGGGAGTCGCCATTCTTTCTTCGCGCTTCAATGCCTCCAAAGGGGCTGAAGGTGCTGAGTCGGCAGAAGAGGGCGAGGAGGCGAGTTTATGCCGATTGCTGTTCGGCTAGCTGCGGATGCGAGGCGATGGCGATGGCGATGAGATGACGGTGATGCTGGAGTCGCGTCCGGCGTTGCTGTCACTTTCAGAAGAGTTCCCAAATAGAAAGTGCCGCGGGCGGATCTGATGATGACGGCAGCCGCAAGGATTGCACGGCACGCTTGTGCTCTAACAACTCAAGGGAGTGACTGGGAAGAGAAAGAAGAGGCTGTTGGCAGACGCGTCGCAAAGAAGGGAGTCTCACGAGGCAAGTGTTCGCAAAGAACAATATCGAGGAGTTGGGAGGAGGTCGGTCCATTGGCGCTTTGCACGGAAATGAAAAACATTAGCTGCCGCTCATCGTGTCTCCCCAGTTTGGGCTTTGCGTCACCTGCCGAGCAAATCATCGTGCAGAGAAAGACCTCACAAGCAATGTCCATCACTTTTCCGCCCATTCACCATTGCTGGCGATCGTTAGAACTAAAGCCCAGGAAACTTCTCCTCTGGAAGTGTTGGGTTTGAGCATGCATTGAATCTGACTACCGCCACCTTTGGATCATGGGCTATGAAGCACTGTAGCTCCCGGAAAGCATCATTCATCATACGGAGGGTGACGTGCATACAGAAAGCCGGTCCGGAACCACTTTGCAATCTATGCTATGCTTTTCTCCATAACAAAGATATGCACCAACTTTGCTAGGCAAAGGAAAGTTGAAGGATTCTTCCGTAGAGCGGCGTTCTGTGTGCAGCTGACACTCTGATCGTCCGACGCATTCCGCTCGCGTTCCCGGCTCAATTATTCATAGCCTGGCCTGGATAATGCATCATGAGGTGGGAGTCAATCATGCCTTGGAGCTCGCGGTCATTGCACACACCGGAGCCGTTGACTTCAGATGTTGTTGGTCGGCTACCCGGCCAGATGAAGGGGTTTATCGTGAAGTTCTTGGCTCCGGAAGAGGTGAGAGGCCAGGCTCCAGCGGTGTAATGGCCGCGTCGATGAACAGGCAAGGCAGGCTGCAGCCTCGGCCTGGCAATGGGGTTGTCGAGATGTAGATGTCGTTCCTGCGAAGTCAACTAGATATATATGCTAGGTCGGGGACTCGGACACTCTGTATTCTAGTCGTGTATCAAGCTGAGAGCCTATCACTATCGTATCGTATCACGGCGGACGCGGAAGCTGGCAGCATGCTGTTTGAATGATGGCATCATCAAGGTGGCAGATGCCTCGTGCTCGAGAACGGAGTCGAAAGCAGTTCAGCTGGACTGTCTTATCTGCGGCTGCTGCAGGTGCTGTCCCTCTGCTCTCCGCTATCAAACTGTCCCGTCGTTGGTCGTTCTGAAAGCGTGGGCACATCATAATCTACCGGGCATGCGTCATCCGCAGCTCCAGCAGCTGCTTCACCTCGCCTGCCAGCCATCGCGAGCCTCCCGCACTCCACATACACCTTCTCCAACCCCTTCTCCACCATATATCCCGCAGTATCACGTCCACGCACAATTACATCGTTGAAACGAAAGAGCTGCATCGGCCGACTGGACACCCCGACTCTCGGCCTTCCTCCAGCCAACCAGCGACAGTCTGCTGCCACCGACCGCAGTGTGTCCACTGCTGCCTCACGCACAGCACCTCCAGCGAGCACCCCTCCCAGTGGAGCATACATATCCCATACTTCCTACTCCAGGCGCAGCACTCGCCTGAGACCAATGCCTGCGGCCTAAACAGGCCTCCAAAGGCATCTGGACTCTCCCTCCAGCACCCAGCGTGCCAGCCATCGCGCTGGAGAACGAGGAAAGAACAGACAACACCTCCCCACTCACCACCGACGGCCCATCCACACTCTCAACCTCTGTTCCTGTCCAGGAACCCTCTCGAGCACCTGAATCTACAGCACCACAACCCTCTCAGCATACCTTATCTGACGCCGAAGATCAAGCGGACCACGACGGCGAGCCCCCTGAACCCACCGGTCTTGATCCATCCGAGAGGCTGTTGAAGCGGAGACGCACATCTTCGCTCGATACCTCCAGCTACCACGCTGCGAGACCAGCTTCATCACGGGCCTCCGCTTCCGGTAAGCACGCCAGGAAGCGCGCTCGTCTGCCCGACGACGGGCCTGAGTCCCAAAACGAGAAGACTATGCGGCTGGACTCGACCGATATCTCACAAAGACAACAGCGGCCTTCGACGAACGGTTCCTCGCAGAACGGGTCTTCCCCGCACGCAAATGGCTCCGCCAAGAGCGAGACCAATGGCTTCCATACAAATGGACATGCGGACGGCGCGGCAATAGTACGCAATAAGGAGCCTTTCTTTGGGCATGACAGAGAACAGGTCACAAGAATTCTACTTCAGACCTTGACCGATTTGGGATATCAGGCCTCGGCCGAGCACCTCTCGCGAGAGAGCGGCTACGAGTTGGAAATCCCGAGCGTAGCTGCATTCAGAAACGCCGTACTCAGTGGCGACTGGGAAGACGCAGAGTCTCTGCTCTTTGCGTCAGAAGTTGCCGAATTGGACGGAGGCGTTCCTCTGGGCAATGGACATTCTGGTAGTCCGACATGGCGGAAAGCTGGACGGCTGTCATCTGGCAATCAGAATGGCTTTTCTCAAAGAGGTCTTCCCTTGACTGAAGATGCATCTGTTTTGTGGCTGAAGTTCTTGCTACGCCAACAGAAATATCTGGAGCTGCTGGAACGCCGGGATACGAATGCTGCTTTGAGCGTATTGCGGACCGAGCTGACACCACTGAAGACAGACACGAACCGTCTGCACTTCTTGTCAAGGTATGTAGCACTAGTATCTTGTCCCATGTAATGTGAAACTAAACGGAGAATCTAGTTTGGTCATGTGCCACTCAGCGGCAGATCTCCGCAGTACAGCAGAATGGGATGGTTCCGAAGGAGAGAGTCGAAGCAACCTCCTTTCGGACGTATCGAGATTCATTTCACCCTCGGTGATGATACCGGAACATCGACTTGCACAGCTGCTCAACGCCGTCCAAGAAACACAAATTCTCGAGTGCCGATATCACAACACGACCGCCCAACCAAGCTTGTACACTGACCACGAATGCTCGGCAGATGACTTTCCACTGCAGCAACAAATCGAGCTCAGGAATCACTCGGACGAAGTTTGGTTTTTGGAGTTCAGCCATGACGGAACAATGCTTGCGACTGCTGGCAAAGATGGGTTAGTCGTTGTCTACGATACAGTAAAATGGCGACCTCTACACGAGTTCCGCGAACATGAGCGCAGTCCACTCAGCGGCGCAGCAAATAACGCTGGGACAGCTGACAACAATAGAGGCATCTGCTACGTCGCCTTCTCGCCGGACGACCAACACCTGATATCCTGCAGCCAAAACAACGAATTCGTGGTCGTCAATGTCCATACGGGCCAGCGAGTCTGCCATGCTGACCATTTCGATTACCCAGTGACCACTGCTGCCTGGCTTCCGGATTCGCAGACTTTCGTTGTAGGAACGCAAGGCTCACGAAGACCGCTAGGGCTATACTCTTTACAGCAAGCATCTGGGCCCAGTAGTAATGGCGGCGTCTTGCGAAATCCTGAGATTCATTCTTGGCGAGATCCTCCTTGGGAAATTTCACAAAAAGACAACATTACTAGCTTCCGTATCACGGACTGCGCAGTGACAACCGATGGTAAGAGGATGGTGGCCACTACGATCGACAACCGGATAATGCTCTATTCTCTCGATCCAGACGTGCGATACTGCAAAGTCGGAGAATGGCAGATGGAGGACCGGCTCACCTCGATCAATTTCTCGGACGATGGCGAACTCATGTTGGTCAATATGAATGAGGGCAGAGTTCTTGCGCTTGATTCCGAAACTGGAGAGATCGTGCAGAGATACGACGGTGCTCGGCAAAGAGACTTTGTCATTCGGAGTGCATTTGGCGGCGCTGGTCAAGGCTTCGTGATCAGCGGCAGCGAAGGTATGAACGATATTTGCAAACGCGAAGTGACCACGCAGGCTGATCGACTTCTTTTAGACTCCAGAGTGTACATCTGGCGCCGACAGACAGGTGCTAATGTCGCCGCTCTCGACGCGCATCATCCTGGCACTGTCAACGCAGTGGCATGGCATCCGAAGAATCCAGGTATTTTCGCCAGCGCTGGCGACGATCGAAAGGTTCGAATGTAAGTGCTTCATCGCTGCTCATCTGCCACTATCTTGATGCTGACGTGATGACAGCTGGACATCTGCGACGGCGCGGCGATCAGCGGAGTTTGGATCATCATCAACTGGCGCATTGAGACCATACAGCGGGCCTGGACAATATCTGTGATTTGGCGTAATGGCAGCATGAGCTGGGAGCATGTATCACGCGAGACGCACGCGTTGACTGTTGCATTTTGGATTCTGAAATAGCGCCTAAGTATTACTCGCACATCCTCCGCCGATATGGCTTCTGCGGAGTGACGCCTGGGAATATCATCACTTTTGATCAAGCCGCGTCACCCACACTTGAAGTATACTTTTTTACGACGAAGGCAGATTGACAATTCTACTCGTGTTTGCACAGATGGCATCTCGACCGGCTAAACGGCTCACCGTCACCATACCTCTCCAGCACGTGTTATTCATAAACAGCTCCGAAGGATTGCGACGAAACTTTTGCTGCAGCACCTCTGCCAAGGACATTGTTCTCAACATGCCCGACAACAGCATCACCGACCACAGCAAAGTTTACGGCAGCAATGGCCATCACCATCAAACACAAGAGCGCAGGTATGCGGCATAGGAATGAATGAGGTTGAAAAGACAACTCAAGCCTGGAGGTCTAATTTGATGCTATGCTGAACGACTCCAGAGGTTCCGCGCCTGCAACAGTCTAGAGCCTCCAAGTGCTCGGATGATTCGTTCCCAAACATTCAATGTCTCGACAACTCCATTTGATACCACCGGTCGGCATAGATATCAGCACCAGCATCATGTTGTATCTCTCCAAGTAACGGTTTGCGACCACAGCTTAGAACCAAATTCCTGCTTTCAATTGCGCCACCACATCCTCCTCTGAGCCGCGATCTCTCACGTCCTTCTTGACACTCTCGGAGGGCTGGATACAGCCCCAGAAGCTGATGGACGGCGCAGCGTCCATAACCGCGCCGACGCCATATTCCTGCTCTTTCTCGGCAATCACCTCTTGCAGAGATCGAGAGCCCAAGCGGACTATGCTCGTCACAGGCATGTAGGGCCGGAGATTGAGTGAGAGGTAGTCAAGGCTCTTGACGTTGCCATCGTACAGGTAGGTCCACGCGGCGCGGATGAACATGTCTTCTTCCCGACTGTTGAGCGCCTCCCGAAGGACTGAACCTAGTGTCATTGGCTCTGCCGATGTGATGCGGTGCCTGAATTCAAGGATCAAAGACCCGACTCGAATGTTTGCGTAGACTTTGATTAGTCCGTAGCGTGGTGGGCTGCAAAGATGCATACCCTGCCATGATGCTTTCGGATCGGATCTGAGTTCCAGAAGCGCAGATTTCAGACTCGGGGCTAGTTTGAAGACGTCGCCGCCGTAGTTGCTCTTGACAGCGGATGCGTGTTCTGCTTCGGTCATTGGAGGGAGCCAACGGCGAAAGATCATGTCGTTTGGTGTGATCAAGGTGTAAGTAAAATCGGTCGTGGCGAGAGTGATAAGAGGAAGTGCTTCTTGGTTCAGTCGGTGGAAGAATATGCTGAAATGGATGTCAACGGCTCCGTGTCAACTGTCTGTCTGTCATAGCAGATTCAGACTCACCCTTCTCCCATGTTTCCAGGAAATTCCTGTACAATCCACTGCTCCACCACAGCCGACTCGTCCTTCCCGACCATCTTGTTCTGCAGCTCGGACGATTGGGCGACAATATCGCGGAATTGGTGGCAAACACGCTGGGCGGTCAGGATAGACTGCGGCGGCAAGTACTCGAAGATCCGCTGGAGCAATTCTGCCGTGTAGAGCACAGCATCGCGAGCGGCGTCGGTAGTCATGCGGCGAGTAATGCGTTGAGAAACTGAAGATTTGGGTTTGCGGTTATGGGATGGCAGCAATACACTGCTGTCGCGGACTCGACGCTTGTTCTTCGCCATAATGGGTGAGTGATCGTGGTGAGACTCGACTTTAATCGTTGATATACTTGGGGCGATCTTGTTCGGGTGGGTTTGCCACTTGGTAAGTGTTGTTTTCCGAGTTGAGTTGTGTGTGGCGAAGCAGAAGTCTTATTTATATAGGGGAGAAGTTCGAGGTGAAGTGCTTGGGTTGCCCTGTGACACCGCACAGACCACACTCATCCCAGCAATAAATCGCTCTCACGCTTCCTAATTGACACCAAATACCATAGCTGTCACTCTGATGGTCATAAGGCTCCCGCGTGAGCCCGCTATAGCATGTGCAGATACTTCCAGGTTTTCAGACTCGGAGAGCACGATGAAAAGCTATCTCAGAAAGCCGACAGTTCTTTCATTTCACCAGAGACACGATTCAATCGTCTTCGTCCGGCAGATATCTCCTCAATCTCGTCACGCGATCTAGCAGACAGATCAAAGGCGGACTCTCCATAACAGCGTCCTTGGCCTTGCCATACTTCCGCGCTTCTGACGCCATCACGTCCACAAGCGACACATCCCGATCTGGGTAAACCTTGTATCGGCGAAACAGACATGCGAGCAGCCACAGATTCCTTGAAATACCAGAACCTGGCGAGGCGGAAGCTGCGTGATGATCCGTTCGAGGAGCTCAGTAACGCCAAAAAAACGAGCGGTAGCGGGACTAGGAAAGGTGTCGCTCTGGCTTGTCGCAGTGGTGTGGTTAGCAGTGACAGGCTGGAACGTGTTGTTAACAATCTCCGACCTAGGGGCAGCACCCACTGCGGTCATACTACGAGTTAGGTGCCTCCATATATTCCTGCCTTGGCATGGAAGGATAGAAGAGGCGTCGCCACCACCGTCGGCTGGTCGCTTCCGCTTCCCCATTGCTGTGGACTTTGATCTGGATATGATTGAGTCAAAGGGGTGTAGGAACGGTGTCGAGGCGTATAATAGAAAAATTCGGTCTCTCGAACGCCTGGGCCAAGAGATGGTGGAAGGTGTCTGCGGAAGAAAGACGTGACGTCTGTGTGGGTGGGAAGGGGCCGAGGGGTGACAGGCATTGGACATTATGCCATGCTATACTACAAGCAAGACCAGGATCAGCACAAATGTACAGCTAGAACGCGAGATTCTGATTCCACTCTCGTCTCTCGTGACTCTCCTTCGCTTTCGCGGTCGAAATATGGTCTCTTACATCATCATTACCCTCATACATGTTGTTTTGTCCTTCTCTGCAATATGCTATTGATGTAGCATTTCTCACTGTCCTTTCACAGCCCCAGCAATCTCTTCCTCAGTCCACTCCCACAACTGTTCAGCTAACTTTTCATCGTTCGCCGGCCGCGTGGTCGTCTTCGTCAACTGGCAGAAAGGTGCATAAAATGCACCGTTCTTCAATTGGTCTTTCGGACATGTTGCAGCCCAGACCTGGTTCCAATGGCCTTGCTCAAGAGGGACTCGCCATCCCCTCAACCTACTGATGAGGCTGACAGGGACGCGGGTCCACCCTGGAAGATCTTCCCAGAGATTGGTGCCATAGATGACGCCAGGATGGACTGCAACTGAGGTGATGCTCGGATGGTGCTTCGCAAGCTCTTTGGCGTACACGAGTTGTGCGAGTTTGCTCTGGCCATAGCGAGCCCATCGATGACCTAACATGTTGAAGGGGCCCAGGCCTTCCTGATCGGTCTTCAGAGTTGACAGCTTTATGCCTTCCGACGGTGCTGTGGTGTACGCGATCGATGAAAGCTGTATGATCCGAACATCTGCGTCCGGCTCTGCTGCTGTGGATTCGAGAATGGGCATGAGAAGCTTCATCAGGAGGGCGTGACCGAGGAAGTTCGTAGCGAATTGAATCTCATATCCATCTTTGGACAGACCTGGAGGCCTAGCCATGATTCCTGCATTGAGCATGAGGATATCTAGTTTGTCGAATTGTGACTTGAAGGCCTTAGCGACTTCTCGCACCGAGTCGAATGAGGAAATCTCACATTTGATAAACGTGAGCTGGACTGATGGATTGTCCTTTGAAACCTTTTCGATCAAAGCATCTGCGGCCTGTTGATTTCGTCCCGTGAATACAATGTGATCAGGAGAGTGTTTGGCGAATTCTACTATCGCGTTCGATCCGAGACCAGAAGTCCCGCCCGTTATCAAGATGATTTTGCCTGCTAGAGAAGGGATGTCTGTATCCGGATTCCAGGTGGTCGAAGGCATGTTGCTGATGAAATACCTTGAGGATCCTTTCCAACAAGAATTGGGGGAACAGCGTGGATTTTTCAATTGTTGAACTTTTTCTCGCTTGGAACCCGAACACACATTCCTGGTCGCCCAATTTTATAGCCTTTGCGTTGGTCCACAGTTTGGGACTCTGGGTCCTAGCTACTACTATCCCTGAACACGTACGAACATCCAGCTGCCTTATCCTTATTAGTTACCTGCACAGATGCACTGGTGGTACTCGACACCGAAGGCTGACAGTCTCGAGACCATTTGCGCATATCCAGATGAGTCACGTGTGTCGGCAGTACGGATGCTGCTGCAAAGCTGGGAATATGTACATAGAACGAAAGCCTGACATGATGTCTATCCACAAGAATCCGTTTCTGCCGTCCGCATTGTCGGCACGATATCCCTGTAATGAGGCTCGTTGCACTTTCCAAGCTCCACCGGCAGCCTCGGCCCGGCCCATCCAGGAGAGCGTTGTCTAATAAGTTATGGATATCACGCACAGCGCAGTGGATTACTTACGTAATACTGCCTTGCTAGCGGTTCAATATAGCTTCGTTGATTGCCTATGTTCTGCTTATTCTATAGTCTAAAATATAGTATAGAAATCCTTCTCCTACTAAGACGTTACGTACTGTTATATAACTAAGCTTACGCGTTATATACCCCCTTAGCTTGTACAAAAAGAAAGGGGCTTGCCTTCCGTTTTAGGCAAGGTAGTCAATGCTTCTTTATATATAAACAAAAGAAAAATTAATCCTTTCGACTTCTTATATAGTACTTTATTAAAACAATAAAAAAATAGTTTAAATCTATACTATATATAAGAGAGTCTTATTTTATACCCCGATTACCCTAGAAGGATATCGTTACATAATCCGGACTGTATATATACCTTTATATATAGTCTCTATTACTAGGAACTATTGTCTTCCTACGTAGTCTAAGCACAGACCGATACTATTAAGCCTTATCTAAGTACTCGTATCGTATAGTAAAGTTAGTTTAATTGAATTGAACTGAGCCCTTTATATTATTACTATCGTTTATTAGATTAATCGTATAGGTAGCGTCTATTTAATTAGACGAAGGATTAAGTAAGGATATATATTAGTTAAATAGATTTAACGAATTAGGATAGGTAACTTAAACTAAGGACGCTACTCTTAGCTAAGACTACTGCACTATTATTACTAGCACTAATACAATCGCCGTAGACTTATTATTAGTTAGTAGAAGTAACGTTCGAAGTAATAATATAGGTAACGGCGATAGTAACGTAACCCGTAAGGTAAGGTTGCCTATACTAGTTGCTTAGTCTATATTAGAAGGTAAGGTTAAAACCTCTGTTCTAATTAGTCGTCGTTATCGTATTAGACACTTTTGTTAGCGCTAATCGATAGAGGTGTATTTAATTAACTTAGTTATAGTTAGTAGAAAGGGCCCCCTATTAGTAGAGGGGCGCCTACTAGGTATTGTATAGAGTTGTCTTCGTATTGCTAAGGAAGAGATTGTTAAAGGAAGAATTGCCTCCTTATATATCCCCTAGTGCTGCCTTAGTTAGTCTTAGCTGTTTAATAAACCTCTTCTAGTTCTACGGGCTATAGAGCTTTATTAGTCTATCGGCTAGTATATCCTATATTGTAAGGTATTTACATTGAATCCTTCTAGCCTTATGTTCTTACCTTAGCTAGCACTAGTAAATGTCTATATAACGGAGCTTCGTATCTAGTTTGCTAGTATTAGCTTTGATAATGCGGATAGTCTGTATATTGTTATAGTACAGTATAGGAATGCTGTCTAAGGTAAGGCTAATATTGTTAAAGAAACGCTTCTACTAGATTAGTTCTAAGCCTGCATATAAGGCGGCTAGCAGTTCAGCCTTAGTCGTAGATTTAGTAACGGTTAATTGTCGTACTACCTTCCAATCGACTAGTCTATTAAACAGGCTAAATAACCATCCTTCTAACGACTGTCTAGTGCCTTTATAATCACTATATAATGTATTAGAAGCCCTGTAAAACTTATAAAGCTATTGGCTTGAATAAGTAGTAATCGCTAGTCTATTAGCGTTGTATTCTACGTATAGGTGCTTTGTCTAAAGCAGGTATTTAATACACTAATTAGCTGCTGCTATATCCTTAGGTCGTAGGTTCTAAAGAGCCTTAGATAGCAAGGACACTGCCTTAGCAATGTTAGGCCTAGTTTGAACTGCTACAAAGTTAAGTGATCCTATACGGCTTTAGTATACTAGCACTACTAATAAGTCTATATGTTAAGTCTCGGTAGTTTTCTCGTACGGCTCGTATCTAGTTAGCAATAGTACCTCTGCTCGCCTACTAGCCTTAGGATTAATTCTATAACGCTAACCTATCTTCTCCGTATATGCCTTCTAAGACAGCTACAGTTGCCTAGTAGTACGGTTTCGCTTCACCTTAATGCTAAGAAACTATAACAGTTGTCTAAGGTTATTAAGCTCGTATTCCTTTATTAGCTTCTACTTAAGCTCTATTGCTTTCTACCGATGTTAGCGGTAATACAATAGCACTATATCGTCTATATAGAAGAAGATAAATACCTGTTTATCTAGGTCGGTGTATAGGCAGTCTACATTATTATAAGAAGGGTATATTAGCAGGTAGATAGGGTGGTAGTAGGTATAGGTAGTATTCGATAGAGATCTAAGAGGAGAGGGAGGAAGGCAGGCTAGTTAGCCTAACGCTAAGCGCTAAGCCCTGCCTAAGGCATCGAGACCCTAGCTTTACTCGAGCCTAGTTATATACTAATTACGTGTAACCTCTTTAGTCTTAATATACGCTTCCCTTCTAAAGGCCGCGCCCTCGTAGCCGGTCTATGTTCTATTCTTAACCTCTACCGCTACTAACTTAGTAGGTCTAGTAAGCTTCTTAGTCCGCGCTAAATTGAACACTTAACTACCTAATTATATAACTATATCAAACCTTACCTCCAAATAACACAATATATAACTCTAACTGCGCTATCTCTATATACAATAAACTATAAAGTAATATATATCTATAAGAATTAAAGGCCTTCGACTAATTACAATATAAGCGCGTCTTCCCTACTATAATAGGTAGACGTACGAGGTATTGCAGCACTGCCTCCGTTCTAAGTAATATCGTATCGAGTTCTTTACGTCTACTCTTAAAAGACCTAGCAATGTCCGCTTCCGAGGGTTTGTCCGCTTCCGAGGGTTATTGTTCTTATTGTTCGTAGTTTCGCTAGCCCTAATTAGCTAGGTTTAGCAGCCTTTAAGTATCAATCTTATCTTATCTTTTTAAAAAACACAGCTCGTCTAGTTTCTATAGGTAAAGGCTATTATAAGTGCAGTAGTAGAGGTTCGCCTCGCTTAAAGGATTAGATAGATCGAGGAGTAACCTATTATCCGCAAGATCGACCCCGGCTAGCTTAGCTCTATAGTTTTTGCCCTTAGTTAGTTAGTCTATTAGTCTACTTAATCTTTTAAGCGGCTTAAAGCTTTAACTTAGCCTTAAAGTTTTAATTAAAGTTTTAATTAAAGTTTTAATTAAAGGTGCCTTAGGCTCGTAGTGCAGGTAAGGTTGTGTCTATAGGCGCAGTAATAATAGTAAGTAATGTTAATAATAGCGGCGCTAGTCGTCTTAGCGCTAACTCTACCTTGCTTTCGATTTCCTTCTTCGACTAATAATATACTCCGTAATACCGTTACTAATATAGCCGCGCCGGCCGTATCGCCCTTTAGTATAAGCGTAACGCCGTCGTTACTATTATTATTACTAACACTATTCGCCTACACGCGCGCGCGCCGCCTCTATCGACCGCCTAGGCCTTAGGCCTTAATAGAATAAAGGAATAAGAGGGGGACCTAAATACTAGGAGAAGGGCCTTATAGGGCGCATTAGTAAAGAGGTGGAGCCCTTAAAAGAGCATGCGATTGATTAATTAACGCGTCGTAGCGCGCCTAGTATAGTCTTATTGTCCTTTGTTGCTAACAATTGCTTGTCTCTAATTAGTTAGCTAATAGCACCCCGGGGGTAGTATTGTTCCTAGGCGACATTATAGGCCCTTAGCCTTCTTCTTGTTCTTTACACTAGTCTAATACTTATCTAACAACTTAGTTATATCCTTAAAGGAACCTTTAGCTTCCTATAAGTCCTATTTAGATAAATAGCCTTACTATCTTAACAGGTACTCCTTCTTACCTTACCTAGTCTAGTACTTTAGAATACGTTCTATAGACTATAGCTCTTTACTATCCGCTAGTATGTCTTCGTGTTTAGTAGGGGCTTCATCCCCCTCGCGTAGGTAATATAGCTTAAGGAGGGATACATAGAAGGTGTTATAGATAGTATAATAAGGAGGAAGCTATAACTAATAGGCCTATACGGAGGAGCCCTTAACTTCTCGAATGCGGAATAGACTAATGTATCTTAGTGCGAGCTTGGGCCTTATTTTGCCGTTAGGTAATAGGTACTTGCGGATGCGGAGGTTCTTAGTGCTTAGTATAACTATATCGCCTTGTTTAAAGGTCCTTAGCGTATAGTGCTTGTCGTAGTAGGTCTTTTAGTACTCTTGAGCCTTTGTTAACTTCTCGGCTATCTTAGCATAGATTTCTCGTATCTTCTAAACCCTCTTAATAGCCGCTAGTGTCTTAGGTATTAGTACTTAATACGCTTCCCTTTCCTTGCGCTCGGCCTCGAGCGAGGTAAATAGGTCTTATAGTAAGGCAGCGTTCTAGCCTATTATAGCAAAATAAGGGGAGACCTTAGTAGATAAGTGGACACTGTTATTGTATACGAATTCAGCTAGTTGTAGGAGGTTAACCTAGTCCTCGGGGTTCTTATTAATGTAACTACGCAGGTACTGCTATAGGGTAGCATTCTGCCTCTCTGTTTAACCGTTAGTCTATAGATAGAAGGCTGTTAATAGCCGATGCTTTAGTCTTAGCTATAGGCATATTTCGCTCTAATAGTGCGATATAAATG